CTCTAATTTAAAAGAAATTTAAGAAATTAACATTTCAATCGATCAAGCTAAATAAATAATTGAAAAATAATAAAAAAAAATAATCTCTTAGAGGGATAGATACAATACATTATTAGTTGATAGTTAATATAAGATTAATTATAATCGAATCACTGTACAAAACAAAATCTTAATGTTGAAATAAGTGAGATTGAAAATAGAAAAATAGAGCTTGATATAAACAATAAGAAACAACTAGATAACTCAATGCTGAGGAGCAAAACCTAATAGAAATAAAAAAAATTAGGAATAGTTGATTTGAGATAATAAAAATCTTTAATTGAGTATAAAACAAGAGATTCAAAAATTATTAAATTAAATTAATCGATTGAGTAAATAAAAGTTTTTCTACTTAATCAAATGATTAAAAAGTATATTGTGAAACACAACATTTCTTGGAAAAATATGACAATTTTGAATCGTTTAAAGAGTTAACACACTAGTGGATTTAAATTGAAATTAAAGATCATTGAAATTAATAATTCTGTAAATAATTAGCTCCATATTTTAATCAAATTCAAATGGCACTTTTAATATTAATAAGGTAATTGATGATTCTAAAGAGGAAAAAGAAGAATTAATGAAATAACTATAAAATTTTAATTAATTTGGAATAGATGCAGAAATATTGAAAAATTTATAAGATAACAAAAAAAAGCTTGGTGAATTAAATTAAATTTATACTGAAGAATTAAAGATTTTTATCCTTTCCTAAACACTTCTGTTAAAGTGTCCTGATAAAATATGTGATAATAAGGCTAGGCATGATGAATAATTAGAACATTTGTGTATCATAGATGCTACGAGTAATGCAAAATAAAGAATTGCTAAAGCTGTTGCAATAAGAGCTTCAAGCATGATTTCAAACAAAACTGCTTAAATGATCATCCTTGTAGTGAAAAATGCTAATACTGTTAGAAAAGTTGTAAAAAGGATCTATCAGCAGATCCTGATCATAATAAACATGATTGCTTTGATAATTATTTCATTGAGAATTGTAAATTATATTACAAAAAATGTTGTGGATCACATAAACACTCAAATGAAAAGAGTAACCATTTTTGTGAAAGTGTACATTAATGTTAAGAATTTTGTTAAGAAGATGTAACATTAAATCATGTTTTTTAATAAAATGCTATTGATTTTCTACAATTAATTTCATATTAAAGGGTCTTAATTCATTAATAAAGATGAAAAATTAAAGTATTTTACCACTATCAATTATGGATATGTATAGCAAAGTCAATTTGCGATTCCTTTTTTCTTATTCTTCTTAAAAATGGTCAATAGATTTGCTTTAAATTATTGAATATAAATTTTAGGTAATATTTTGATGAGTTCATTAAAAGAATACTGTTTTTGAAAGCTAAAAAGTGATAAAGGATGTTTTTTTGATAAGTATTCATCAATTTGGCTAAAATCATCTTGAAGGTAATAGTTATTAAATATGATTTATAAATTTTTATTATTTATAGATATTTAATAGTATTTTTTAAATTTCTTAACTAGATTGTTATTTCTTCTAATTATAATCTAGGGGGGAGATAGTTTCTTTAATTTTTGTGATATAATATTTATTAATGAATTCATTTTTACAGTATTTTAAATTATTACTTTTATATCGTATAATAAATAATAATAAAAAGTGTTGTAATGTTTAACGTATTTAGCAAATAATCAAGGATCAACTTTATTTTTAACTTCTTGACATATTTTTTTATTATTTATTTTATCTAACAATACGATAAGAAATTTTCTCTATCCATCTATTTATCAATAAAAATTAAATATTATAACTAATATTAATTATAATTTTAATTCAAATCATTTTATAAATAATAATCAGTATATTAAATCTATTCTAATATCCTAAATGATTGAAAAAGAAAGAATTTTGTTAATTTACTTTTAATTTACTTTAAATACTTATTTCAAATTTTTTTTAAACTCTTGATAAAATCTTTGTTAAATATTATTAAGACATAGTTAAAAAATTAGAAATTGAATGTAATTACTATTTTAATGTTGTTGATAAATTATCAAATCACTTTTACTATAAGCTTTCCAAGAAGTAACTTCCTTTTTGTGTCAATAATGGTTTTAAATCTACACCTGATTGATTAATAAATTCTCTTTTTAGAATTAAAGCTCCCGTTGCCTGAAAAATTGGCTATTAGGATATAAGTAGTATGGTAATATTAGTGTATGCTAAAGATTAAATAAAAATAATTACCACTTTCAGGGATAGGATTGTTTTAAAATATCGAAGTATTAAATTAAGTTAAAAGATGTTTGTAATTTTTATTGGAGGATTGAATTTCTTATCCTGTCAAAACATCCCAAAGTCGGATTTATTTATCATCACTGAGAGAAGCTAATGTACTTCCATCAGGAGAAAAACAAACAGAGTTGACAGCATATGAATTACCATCTAATTTAGCTTGTTATTATCCTATTTTGACATCCCATAGACGGATAGACATATCAAAACTACCAGAAGCCAATTTATCTCCATCAGAAGAGAAACAAACTGACATAACAAAATTACTATGACCATCCAATTTGGCTTTTTATAATCCTGTTTTGACATCCCACAGACGGATAGAGTTATCATAACTACCAGATGCTAAGGTATTTCCATCAGGAGAGAAACAGACTGAGTAGACGCTGCTAGTATGGCCATCCAATTTGGCTTTTGATAGTCTTGTTTTGACATCCCATAGACGGATAGAGTTATCTTTACTGCCAGATGCCAATGTATTTCCATCTGGAGAGAAACAGACTGTCATAACAAAATGATTATGACCATCTAATTTGGCTTTTTATAATCCTGTTTTGATATCCCACAGAAGAATGGATTTATCTTTACCACCAGATGCTAATGTGTTTCCATCAGGAGAGAAACTGACTGAGTAGATATAATCACTATGACCATCTAATTTGGCTTTTTATTATCCTGTTTTGACATCCCATAGGCGGATAGACTTGTCCCAACTACCAGATGCTAATGTATTTCCATCAGGAAAGAAACAAACTGAATTTATACAATTAGTATGGCCATCCAATTTAGCTTTTTATAATCCTGTTTTAACATCCCATAGACGAATAGAGTTATCATCACTACCAGATGCTAATGTATTTCCATCTGGAGAGAAACAGACTGACACTACAAAACTTCTATGACCATCTAATTTTGCTTTTTATTATCCTGTTTTGACATCCCATAGACGGATAGACTTATCACTACTAGAAGAGGCTAATATATTTTTATCAGGAGAGATTTAGACAGACAATACACTTCCACTGTGACCATCTAACTTATTCAACTTATGGATTTTCAAGTTCTTCCATTTACAATTGAATAGTTAAGAACAATTCAAATTGAATCCACTTATATCAACATTATCAAATTCAGATCCACTTAAGTTGCATCCTAAAAAATTACCTCCAATTAAAGAAGTATTCTTTATTCTGATATTCTCAAATGATTAGTTCCTAATATCAACTTTCATACCTACTAATAAATTTAATGCATTTGATCCACATTAAATAAATTTTACATCTATGCTGGTGAGGAGAACTAAAACCTTGATAAAATCTATGATTCCTTTATTATCCTTAATCTTATTAATTATATCTTGCCTTGTTTTTTCATAAGTCTCTGAAGAATAGTCATCCTTATTAAATTAATGATCCTAAATATTTCTCAAAACATTTTTGATTCTCACTATTTACTTCCTTACATCCCTTATATTTTCTTGATTGTTGATTAAAGATTCATCAAAGCTTTGTTTGTTTGTCTTCGAAAGGAATTCTAGGATGTCTGAAACCTTCTATCTTTGAAGTATTTCAATAATCTTTTCATAGATAATTTCATCAATATCTTGGATCTAAGTGAAAATTTCAAATATATCTTCTTTCATTTAATAAGCTTCATCTTCTTCTTCAGGTTGAATTCTCAAGATAGGATTAACATATTTACTTAATTAATGATTAAATTTATTTGATTCTAAGGTTAGCCTTTTCTATAAAAGCCTTAAGATGATGGTCCCACCAAATCATCATCTTATCCAATTCCATCATATAAAAATTCTTCGTAGCATTCGAATCAGTTAAAGTTGTTCCTTCTACAATATTTACTAATTTTTCTAATTCGGTGTAAGAGGATTCAGCTAGATTAGTATTTTTGTTGATGAAATTTAAGCATGATTAGTATTCCTGTTCAATCCTATTGTAAACTTCTATCATTGATTGTGACAAATCCTCCAAAATTTTCTTCAACATTTGTTCGGTTTGAGAGAGCAAGGATTTGAAGCCTGTTCTCTATTTTGTTAACTCACATGTCTTGGAATCGTTTAATTTCTTGATAGCCATTTCTTGATATATTTCGATTGGGACTGTATATTTCAAATCCACTCCGTGTCCATATTAGCACTCAGCACAAAGTTTTCTTTAACATTAACATTTGTGAGGAGCTATACATACAAACGTTATTGGATTTCTGATATGATAGGTACAATTCATGATTTTTTTAATATTAAACTACAATAACTCTAATTTTAAGTTATATACTGCAAAATCGATAAAAGAATCTTATGTATTTTTGTAAAATAAAAGTTCGGACTTTTTGTAGATTTGAAATGGATTTTAACTGGTGTAAAATATGTTATTTATAAATCATTTCAACATATACATTGCTTTATTCTTTAATAATATAGAATATCTAATTTGTAACATTTAATCATGTTTGTTAAATTACAGTTTTAGAAGCATATTATCTAAATTTATAAATATGAATCTATTTACATGTAATTTGATAGATAATCTTTGGTATCATTATAGATATAATCTAAAACAATCTAGAATTAAGAGTTAATATCGATGAATATGTATATTCTTTTTAATTATCACTATGTTATTAAGCCAAATACTTACTTTGGAATTGAGAAAAAGAAGTTATTATCACTTCATAAAAATATAATTAAATATATGATAAGTGTTAAAGTTTTATCATTAGAAATTTAGTTGTCTTAAATTATTTAAGTAATTGCCTTTGAAAATTTTTAGAATATCATGTAAACATTTGCAAAAACATTCAAAAGTATTAGAATCAAATAATCATAGTTTATAATCATTGAATAGATTTGATTTATTTTCATAGTTTATATCTTAAAAATGAGGATATATATTTATTTCATTAAATATTATTTTAATATCTAAATGATATTAAATGGAAAATTATCTTATAGAGTGACTTTGCTTTCTTCTCGTAAAATTGGGGAATATATCAAACCTTTGAATATAGCCAGTTCAAAATAAGGATAATTAATACAAAAATGATTATGTTATATGGATAAGATAATAGTTGGACCCCCCACAATAATTTTAATTGATTACATGGATTAATCCCAACAGTAGTTTAAGATTAATATGTCACTTGTGTTTTATATCTAATATTTAAATCAGATCCATCATGTTTAAATTCCAAAAGATTTAAATAACAATTTTTTATACCCCATCCAGAGGGTAAATTTACAACTTAACTTGATCCATCAGCTCATATGCTTGTTATAGTTAGGCCAATTAAAAAAATTTCAGATCTACTCAATAATATTTGATATCCAATTTATTAAAGGTTTTCTATATTAAAACTTATAGTCACAGCCTCAGGTGTTAATATTAATCCCTATTATATATTTTATATACTGTTAAATTATTAAATTAAGGACTTAGAGTGTAATAGCTAAAAAAATTAGAGATTGCCACATTAATTTTACAATCCTTTTAGTAAGTATGAATGTAAGAAGATTTTGGATTCGTTATATTCAAATTGCTTAAAACTTAGACCCTTTCATCATTAAATGCAAACCTGTTAAATTCAACTTGATAAAATCGTTCTGGACTCTCACAAAATATTTTGACTTTAAATCCTATAAAATAAATTAAGCTATCGCCTACAGTGCTGACACTAACGATATCTAATGAATATCCTTAAGGAAATGTATATTCCAAATCAAGGTTAGCAATATTTAAGTACACATCTGGGACTAAAGTGAATTACTTTTGAAAAGTATTAAAATATTCTTCCTCTCTAAATGGGGTTTGACTCAAAAATAAAATTAAATTTGTATTTTCTTCGTAACTGAAGTGATTCACAAATCCATATTCAAACCTATGATTAGCTATCACAAAAAAAAAAAAAAGATTTAAAACATAAAAAAAATAAAATATGATAAATAAAAAAAAAACATGTTTATAAAATTTATATATTCAATAATCTAAAATATCCTGTATTAATAAAGTCTTTTTTATGCTACTTGAATAAAATAATATTTCTTAATTTTCATTTTTATATTTATCTCGTTTAAAAATGCTTTTTAGTTTACTTCTAAAGATAATTTAACTAAATAAAAAGTAATATCAATTTTATCAAAAATAACATTTATTTATTGTAGAAAATAAATCAAAAATTTTGAGAATCAAATTACATCCTTTTGATCTCTAAATTAGTACTCTTTTTAAATAGATATTAGTAGGTTGATTTAAGATTAAATTAATCAATATCAAAGTGATTATTATTATTTTGGTCAATAGGAATTCGGTGTTTTAATTTACGATATTAAAATTTTGCTATTAATCATCCTAGAATAGAACAAAATTTATATCTATTTCTTTAGCGAATATTCTTAGTATTGATAATGTTTTACAATTCTTGAAGATGAGTTTAAATCAAAAAATTTCTTCCATTCTTAATTATATAGATCAGTAGTTTCATCTAATAAGAATATTCAATCTTATTTTACAAGATATTGTTTCTAATATAAGATTAATTTATCAACTTAAAAAGTAAATTAAAATTCCTTAAAACGGATTTCATGATTTGATTGATTATTTATAGCTAGAATAGCAGTTTCCTTTTTTTAATAATGCCATAAATTATCAAGTACTAAGATGATAATCAGTATTTAATATTAGTTATTAAAAGTTTTGAGTTCTTTATCCAATCTAAGCTTATTAATTAATTTTAATTATTAATTTATTAAGTATCAAATTCTACTGACATTACTCTTATTTTATGTAGATTGATAATTAGAGACTAAATAATTTTTACAAATTTTATTCCATCAATTTTAAATACTTATTTTAACTTGAAAAAAATGAATAGTATTGTTAATGGAAATAATTGTTCCAAAAAATCGCCTCTTTCTTGTAATAGTGTAAAACTGATGGATCAATAAAATAAAAATGAAATATAGTAAAATCTAAGTATCTATAAAAGATATTTGTCCTACTTTTCTTCATTATAATTTTCAAAAAAAACTTTTCCTTTTAAATTCACAAATTAAAATAGTTTACTTTATATATCTTCAAACTTCTAAATATCAGATACTTTCAATTATAGGAGAAAGTTCAGAAATTTAATTTTTTAATGAAGATTAAATCTAACCCTTTGATTATATAAAATAAAATTGAATAGCACCCTAAGTAAGGTCAAATTAAGATAAAATTAAAATCCTTAAAGAATTCCAAGAAATAGAAGTAGTGACTAGAATAATAAATTATGGAATGACCACAACCTAGTTAAAAATTAATTTAAATGGTTACTTATAAGGCCGTTCCTAAATTCTAGCTTTAAAGGATTTAATAAATTCTTAAATTTATCTTTATCAATCATATTGTTATCTTAATAATTAGTAATTTTTAATGTTCACAAGGATTAATTAAAAAATTGATTGAATATATAAATGGAGTGATAAATTCTCAAATTTATTTGGATAATTGTAAGTTTCTTTTTTTGGAAAATAGAAAGACTGTTAAAATAGTTGTTATAAAGAAGTTTAATAAAAAAAAATTATATAATTTTAGTAGATCATATGGCTTTCAGATTGGAAGTTGGATTGAGCTGTGATAATCTTTAAGGAAAAAATCAAATTAAAATAAAATCATTTTAAAACCAAGTAATATTTTTGTAATCTAAGATATGAATTCATGAGTTCATAAATAGAAGTCAAGCAGCATTCTTTCCTTTTAATAATGTTATCAGAATAATTGTGAATAAATTGTTATTATCTTACATCTAAATCTAATCCTTAATAATTCCAATAATAGTAAAAAATCCCTTAATAAATTAAAAGGACAGTCAGACACAATATGTTATATTTTTATTATCAATTCTGGCAAACGAATTCTCCATACTAGAAAAAGTTTGGAATTAATTAAATTAAGCATTAAGAAAATGTAATTGTAAATTTATTTAACAATTTGTCAATAATTGATTCGTAAATTTTATTATGAGTTGCCCGAGAAATAAATTGAATAGACTATTTTATCAAAATTCCATTTTTGAAAATGAGTTTCCTGAAGTAATTTATTAAATAGTTTGTTTTGAAATATATTTAAACAATATTAAAAATTTTACCTACTAATCATATATTTAAGATTATCAACTCTTATAGTTCGATGGCAAGATGTTTAATTAACAACTTTTATAGTTTACTAAATAATAGATAATTTACAATTTCAGTATAGAAGTTCAATTTCTAATTTTCAATTATTTAAACATAAATAATTTCTTTTTTAATTAAAAGTAAATTCTACTTATAGCACTGCTATAATACTAGAAAGTTTATCTTTTCAATATCATCATCAATAGCCAAAATATATTATTTTTCATTAAAAAACTAATTAGAGAAAATAAAAAATTAAGTAAAACAAATTTGCTTTAATAAAAATTTTAAAATGAATTTCCTATTTAAATTCATAAATTATATTACTGTTGGAATGAATATTTAATTTTATGAATAGTTTTAATAAAAATGTTAAATAAATGAGAATTGAATTTGCTTTTTTTAATATTTGAGAGAAAAAAAAATGATTAATTCTGAGAATTTTAATTTACATATACATATATTTATGGATTATTATTTAATTCATCTAAAAGGATATATCCAGTAAATTATTAGTGAAATAAAAGTCATATTCCAAAAATAATTTGATTCTCACTTTTTATATATTATGGAAAATAATAAAATATATAGAAAAATTCAACTTCTGTTTTATTTAGGATTAATTTTAAATATAAAGTTTAAAATAAATGTTGAATTTTTTAATAAGGTGATTATCTTGCTATGTTATTCTGGAATTAAATATCTGATGAACATGATTTTAATAAAAAGAAGGAGTTTTTTATTGTTTATTAAGTTTAACAAAAAAGATTATTAATTTTGAGGGTTCTTATTAGACTGAATTTCAAATTGCTTGAATATTGGTTTTAGATATGAGTAGAATCAATCTTATTTCATATTGGTAAAAAAAATTATTGGTTCTAATAGTAATAAATAAAACATAAAATACCTTCTATATTTAATAATAAGTAGAGTCTAAGTAATTAAATAATCTTTGATTTTTGCAAATCATTCTTTGATTCTGACTCTTTAGTATTTTTTGCTATTAAAGAAATTATAAAATTACAATAATATAAACAGATAATATTTAAAAAAAAACTTTAATATTAATTTTGGATATATAGTGCGTTACAACACAGTTCAATGTTTGTCTGTGAGTCAGCCTGTTTACCAAAGTGGTAAATCCCACTCCCGTAGCTGTACATGAGCAATGAGAATACCCAATCTCTTAGACCAAGCCTTGAATACGGGTTCAGATTTTTGAACTTCCCTTCACCTACTGACCTCCGTCCTGCCCCCGAAAGACTTCCTATTATATCAGAACCTGCATGGGTAAGCTATTAGGGTTCATTCCTCCATGAGACTCTGGGTCTCGTAACTTTTGTGATCCTTTTTTGTGGCTAAAGGTTAGCCAAAGTGGGTCTTTTTTTCAAAGACTAGATCATGAATGCGCTTAATTTTTAATTTAAACTTTATATAAAGAATGATCAAAGCTTAACTAATTAGAGATATGTCTAAATAAAATTTATTAATTTAGAGTATTTAAAATAAGCTGGAATAAGTGTGCCATAGAGAAGTGTCAAAGGCAAACAAATAAAAGAATTCAGAAAAGATAGTTATTCTATCATATCTCTAAGCAGCATTTCAATATATCCAAATATCATTAGAATTCATTCTTTTTGAGAGTTAAGAAAGCAAAGCTCAAAACAAGGTTTACTGCATATATATATAGAAAATATAATAGAGCAGTTGAAATAAATGAAAATCTCTATCAATCAAGCCTAGCCAATATATCTAAATTTAAAAAAAAAAGATTGAAAAAATAATGCTGCAGTTGCTAAACTCCAAATAATTCTGAAATATATTATTATAATATCTAAGAGATTAATTAAAAAGCAATCAAATGAAAGAATTAATTAACTTCATATTAATCTTTGATGTCATTCAAGAAGGAATGTAAATTTATAATGTTGGAATAGTATATATCATTTAAAAATAGTCATCAAAGACTTTAATAAAGATTGCTGATTTATCTATCTAAAAGAATTAATTTTAAAAGATTTTAATCTAATCTCCAAAATTTAGTCTTTAATTCTTCCGATATTACACAATACATAAATTAAAATAGAAATAAGGGTCCAAAAGTAAATTAGACTAATAACTAAATATTATCAACTATATAATCACTATTTCTACACCCTTATGGAGACTAACTGAATGAGGTCCATCACCATTTGTTTTATTTAAATGGAATTATTAATATGAAGCAAAAATGGAACCTTAATAGCAAGATTAATATCCTTTTTATCACCCTCTCTTGCAATTGTTTAAATCATGATACTATTTTTCGATGTAATCACTATTGTAATATGCTCTCCAATACTCTTATTGTAGTCCAATTATAAAGTTTTAATAAAGTTCATCTTATAATCATCTTTATAATCGCAACATTTTATCATTAATTTAAGCTTAATATTATTAAGGTTATTGATCACAACTACGAGAAATTGAATTCAAATATTCTCCTATTTAGCATTTGAATTTTTTGTGTCAAAAATTAAGCTATTTATGAAGAAGCAGGTAATTTAAGATGATGGTTAGGTATCAAATTAGAGAATATTCATAATATTCAAAAATATTTTTAGTCTTAAAACAACATCTTCATGATGATTTAATTCTCTATGTTAAAAACTTGATTTTCTTAATTATTGTTTAAAAAAATGTACCTGATAATCTTGTTAAAATAGTATCAATAGTCAAATTTTAGGCATTGTAAGAAATTAAAGGAAGAGATCTGCTAATTTATTGATAACATTTATTCAAAACAATAATCAGGAATGCCAAATTATAAGGAATTAATGAGAATTTTCTAATTAAAAGGATTAATATGAGGAGTAGAAATTCCTAATGGAAATGTGAGAAAAGTTAACTTTTGAGTATATCCTCACATTTTATGAGGAATTAGTTTAATTTATTCTATGAATATTTTTGGGTTTGCCAATATTACCTTCTTTTCAAGAACATTTTTATAATCGCATCCAACTATTTAATTTAATGAATAGGTTATTAATTAAGAAATAGTCCTTCAGTCACCTGACAATATTTACTTTAATAAAACTATATAATATAAATAAACTTGCTCTATTAGAATAATAGTAAACAGCTCCTCAAATCCATCAAAGATTGCGCTCTTGATTAAAAATTTTCTATCAATTATCTTAAGTTGATAATTCGATTATAATACTAATTTTTATAATCATGCTATTATAATTACCTTCCATTTAAATTAGCAAACATCACCCTAAACCTCAAAATATTCCAATAACTTTTTTTCCACAATTTGTAACCATTAATTCTATTTTCAATTTGAATATGTTATAAAAGACAATTTTCTTATTATGTGTATTGAATAGCAATTGACAATCTTAAGATTGTAATATTAAGCATAGAAAGTTTTCAAGAGATATGGATGATTTTGATGCTAAAGAATAATAATGAGAATATTTTTGGTCACTTCCTATCAAAACTATTTTCATTTATTTTTCTAAACTCTAAAATAAATGGCAAGACTTCTAACTTATTACAAGAATAATTATTAAATTGTACCAGAACTCTTAGATGAAGTATTAATTGATGTCTGTATCATAATGATATAGATTATGAATTTGTAAAAATATATTTAAGATATCTATTATTATTGCAAATTGTTTCGTTTATAAGTAGTAAAAGATTTACAAAAAAATGAAAAAGATTTGAATTTATTCTAGAATCTTAGAAAATTAATAAAATTAATAATGCAAAAGAATTAAAAAATAAATAAAATTTAGAATAATTGAAACAAAAAAGAGAATTAAATATGAATTCATCTTTATTAAGTATTATTTGTTTTTTTAAAATCTAAATTATCAATTATAATAAAATTTGGAATTAAACAAGAGAAAAATTATTTCTAAATTTATATTAAATTTAGTGTTTCTTAAAACTTATTTTGAATTGTAATTAATTTTGATTTGATTTTGTTAAAGTTAAAATTTTAGAAAACTGAAAATAAATAAAGAGAATTGGAATAAATTAAATTATTTGATTAAATAATGGGAAATTTATGATATGATAATGATTCAAAACTTTTCAAGCTATTTCTATATATAATCTTTCTCTTTTGATCTTTTTTCTAATGCAAATAAATAACTTTATTTAGCTTCATTTTCATTACCTAATTCAAATAATGAATCAGCTAAATTTAAATTATAGTTAATATACCTTTAAGTCTTAATGTTAATGGATTGATATATTATGATAGAGCTTAGTCATAAAAAAATATAGCATCTTTAAATTTCTTTATTTTATGTAATGCGATGCCTAAATTATTATTTAATTTACCTTTATTAATCCACGCATTTTCATATTTTGGATTTATAGAAATAGCTTCATCTAAGCATTCAATAGCTTCTTAGTATATGTGTAAATTGTTTAATTATTAACCTTATTACTAATAATAAACTTATACCTTCTTTTACTATTCTTTATACTTCTTCATGATTCTACTTTCTTTATTCATCTCTCACCTCATTAATTTCTATGATTTAAATATCTTTATCATTATCTCTTTAATTTATTCATCCACTTAAATTTAGTCTGATACCATATTTTTTATTGTCTCAAGAATATCATTTAATTGTAATATTTATTATTCTATTATAATTAATAAAAAAATCATAAATATATAATTCTCTTTCTCCTTCATATAAAATCTTTTGATTATGTTTATTTATGACTTAAATTTTAAATATTCTTAATTCAAAAGTTGTATATTCATATTTTCTAATACTTTAATATCCTAATTCATTTTTTTTTAAATCAATTCAAAATAATTTTAAAGTTGCTTAGAGATTTCTTTGAATTAATTCCTTGATTTATTGTAATTATGTATTAATTCCTCTTAAAATTAGATCATTTTTGTGAATATAATACAATAGTTAAAATGTTCTATGTGTGTAGTATGTAAACATTTATAACAATATTAAGTTGCATTTTCACAATTCTGATTCAAGCAAAATCCAATTATTTCTTCATTTTCATGATTAAGATATTTACACTAAAAGATTTCCATTAAATAAATAAAAATAATTAATAAATTAAATATTTTCCATATTTTAATATCATATATATATAATACAAATCATATTAATAATAGAAAAGCAATTAATAAATAAGAAATAATGATATTATTAATTCTTATACTTAGACTCTAATAGAAACTTAATTTCAAAGTGATTTATTGATTATTTACATCAGATAAAACATTCTAGAATAATTATTGTAAATTATTCTAGAATGTATAATAAACTATTATTGAATAGTTGAAATGATGTAATTGTAATTTATAATAGAAGTATTTCGACAAATTTTAACTTTGCTAATATTCCTAATTATAAGCCAAACTTATTTAAAAATGTAATTAGGTTATTTGAGTGATTTGTTTGTTTAAAAAAAAATTTATCTAAATTATTTAATTTTTTATTGATCTCATCTATTAATATTTGATAAACTAAAGAGGCTGATTTTAAAGAATCTCTTTTTCATTTCACTCTAATAAGGAGGGGTAAATCTAAATTTATTCTATTATTTTTGATAATACTTAATTAACCTAGAAGATAGATTACCCTTTATTATAGATTGTAGACTTTCCTTTTTTTTTTAAATTGTTGAAATTAGAATTTTTCTATAAATGATTAGGCAAACCGATTATGAGAAGACAATAAGCAGCACAAAAAAATTATGATATAATCTAAAATTTTATCTTCATTTATTTTTCTAAATTGAAAAAGAAGGAAAATAAAAATTATGGAAGACAACTTTATATAAAAAGGCTTGAAGCATTGATGGTTTTACTAATCATTATTTGTTTAATCATTCTTGATTTTTTCATTAAATTACAGACAATATGAGTTAGTGAATCAATGACAAAATTACACTGCAGGAAGTCTAACATTAAATTCCATTTGATACATGGAAAATAATTTTTCTGTTGTTTTTTAAGGCATCTTTGAATAGGTTCCAGTTAGGAGCATTTGAATAAATTTTATTGGAAATAATTGATTCGTAAAATAATTTTGATAATTTGTAAATTATTTATTAAGAGACTATAATTGGTTATCAAGAAGTTTTCTCTATTTGTTTCACTATCAAATCTAACAATCTTTTATTTATTTTCTTGATAATGGTAAAAAAAAAATTAATAAATTTTGCAATTAGAAAATAATTTGGAGATTTAAGATTAATATTTAGTTTTCAAAGAGGAGAATTTTAGCAAAAAATACAACTCTGCATATTTTTAAGTATTTTATCATTCATAATATCGAAATACGTTAGTAAGAGCAATAATTAATGAATCAAAATATTTAGCAAAGATGTAACGAACTGAACAGAAGTTAATCATATGTTATCATCTAAACTACCTGTCCTTATCTTTTTTAGGTAAAAATAAATTAGTATCAGCTAAATATAAAGAAGAATTCCCTTACATTTGGAGTATTTCTTTCTTAACATTAATTTTTATAATTTTAACTACACCTAATAATTGAATTGACCTTAACTTTTAGTGAAACAGTTTTTTAACATAATAAATTGAAATCTTTAAAATTAAAATTAAATACAGCCACATCGTTCCTTTATCATCTGTGTTAGCATTCTTACAAATTTATTTCATAAATCTCTCCTAAATCATTTTGAATTATTGTGACTTTATATCCTGATTGATTGAGAACAATTTATTCACATCTTTATATTTATTAAGGATATAGAAGACAAAAATTCATGAGTTTTTAATTATGCATAAATATTTATTAGATTTAAATACCAATCTGAAAATAATTTTAGAAAATTAAAATTTATCATTATGATTCTATTAATAAAGCCTAAAATTTATAGTGTTACAACAATCATAAACTCATCATTTTCTTTATTTCTTTAAATAATTCTAAATTAACTTATCTATGATAGTTTTATTATTTTTTTTTAAATTATTATGATTTAGTTAGATCAAAGAAAATAAGTTATAAGTTGATTTCAATATATCTTCTATTTTCAGAGTTTCCATACTTTTTCAATAGGGTTTAATTAAGGAGAATATGGAGTAAAAAAATACTTGATCAAATTATATAATATTTTTTATTTCATAAACTTACTTGAATGAATAGAACAATTATCTAGGATTAAAATAAAGCTTTGATTATGATAAAACAAAGACGCTTGTTTTATTAACTAATTTATAAATTTTCCGAAGAAAAATTGTTTAACATTTCCATAACAAATTTAGAAACATGAAAATCCATTCCAACCTATCCCTCCAATAACATGTAAATTACGATTTATATTGACCATCCTTCTGAATTTTACTTTTCCTTTCTTTTACCAACATTTTGGTTTTTTGTTTGATGACAGAAGTCATGTCATCAATTTTTATTGTTGAATAATTTTCTTTGATATAAGTTAATATCTCAATACAATATTATTTAACTTAAACCTCTCGTGATTATTTAAAAATCTAGGTTTTTTATGAGGAACTTGTCTTAAAGTAAAACTATTTTCGTTCATCCATTATCTAAACTTTTTAATTCCTATGCATTAAAAGTTAATTATGAATTCCAAAATTAAATGAAGCTCATAGGAATTAAAGTAATTTTAAAGCCATCAATGTGAACTTTGTCAAAATAAAATACACCTCGAGTTCATTGACTATTTGGAATCAATTTTTATCAATAATATATCGCACTCTAAGGCAATCCTGTTAAAATTGAAATATATTATGTTCTAAAGCCTTATTAAGTTAATTTTCGTTTTCTTGATTAACCAATTTTTAGAAGGTTTCTCTAATAGCTTTGCTATTTGTTTTACTTTTATGTTTATTTGTTGGCTATGATTTGGTTGTTGAAAATTATTGCTTCAGATTCATTAAGTTTCTCAATTTAATTGAACTTCCTTTTTTATAATGGTTCTATATGAATGCTGTCATATTCTATCAATTTATAGCATTCACTTTTGCATCTATAATATGGAAGAATTAAAGACTCAATTTGGATTTTATAATTAATTTTGAAATTCATCAATCCAAATAAATTTTCTTCGTAACAATTTTGATTAACTTGATTTGCTAGAAATTTTATAAAATTATAAATATTATAGAATTTGTGATATTTGTAATTCATAATTATCATTAATGGAAGTATGAATATTTACTATATTTAATTAATGTTACAAATATTATCCCTCAAACCATCAAAGACTGAATTTAGATATGCCCATTTATGAAAAGAGAGGAATAGTAATATTGTTGAAATATTTCAATTTAGAATATTTTAAACTTATAATTGGAATCTAGTAAATCAAAATAATAAAGCAAATGGTTGACAAAAATTTTTATGTTTTTCTTAACTTATATTGTAAGTAATAATTTCATGTATTTAAAACTTTGACTTATATGTTCAATCAGCTATATTTTATAAATATCCTATATTAATTTAGTTTATTCTAAATTAGTAAGTTTTTCAGATCAATCTTATTTAATATTATTTTTAGATTTGAGTGATTGATTACAAATAATATTTACAGTTATCAATGTATTAGAAGATAAATTAATATTATTATCTTCTATTGTTTCTTTTAATATTATTTTTGTAAGTCTTTTATATTTATTCAAGATAGAAATTAATGAAAACGTTTCTATATGTACAAATCCAAATAGTAAAAATAAATTATTATCCAAATGGTAACTATAGACCAGAAAGTTCCAATATATTTCAAAATAATACTTCCTTTATAATAAGTTAACAGAGCTAAAAAATTTATTATGATATAGATTATATTTAAGGGTAATTATAAATTATTCAGAAATAGTTATTTATTATATGTATTTTATCATACTAGATTATAAAGAGGAATTAATTGACATAATTTCCTTTTAAATATTTTAAATTTAATTAGACCAAATTAATAATAAAAATTAAATTATTATAATTGAATATTTATGTGAAAATTTATGGTGGCATTCTATTCTATCTATCTCAAATTAAAATAAATTGAATTCAATTAAAAAAAATTAAGAAATTGAAGATGTACTGAAAAATAAAGAAATTAAAATATTAAATTTCCATTCAGCAGGATCTCGATCTAAACTAAGGGCCAATTAGAAGTATTAATTTTTATTGTACAACATAAAGTCTATAAAAATTAAATTCTTAATGATTAACACAGCAAGATAATTAAAAGTTTTAATTTTATAGATAATTTACTTTTTTGTTGATTTGACTTGAAATATGACAGATATTGATATGTTTCATAATATCCAAAGTTTTCTTAAATTTTCCGTGGGTTAATTAGGTATTTTTCCAAGTGTTTCATATTTATGTATTTATTATATTCTTTATATTATCTCCAACCCTTTTCCAAAATTCAAAGTATTAGTATCCTGGGATAAAACTTATCTTCATTTTTTTATTTCTACTCATTATTTTCTCATCTATTTTGTTTTGTTTATGTAACTGCTTCTCTACTCTTCTTATTCAAACTCTACTTTTTTCTGTTCTAGTTAGTTGATTTATTCTTTCCATAGGATTTGTTTTTGCATGAACTTGGGGTGTCTTTCTATAAACTAATCTAAATATAGTTCACTTAGGTTCATTCCTTCATCATGCATTCTCACTTCATATTACTTTTGCAGAAAATGGCTTGCAAATTGAAAGTAATATAATATGATCCTATTTATTTGTTCCATCCTGATCTGTTTCCTTTATAAATGAATTCTCTAATATGTCTAATTAGATCTACCGATCAATTTATTTACCTTGTTAGTAGTCAGATTCCAGTAAGTCAATTATTTTATCAATAATTTCCTTAGGATATTGACTCTTCAACTCCATTTAATATCTGAATGCATTTCTTCTCAAAGTCTTCCATAATTGTTATCCAACTCTTTTTCTAGAACTAAATTACTATGTTATTGTATCTGATAAAGGGGGAGGAAATATAAAATCCAAAGTTTAAGTAATTTTTATATTAAAAAAGAATAAGAGCAATCTAAAAATGAGTTTAATCAAATTTTCTGGTTATCATTTTAAGTCAGATTACTCAAAACAATGATATTACATCAAATTTTCATTTTATTTATGAGACTTTGAGTGAAATATAACTAATCCTACCATCAATAATAAACTATAAAATAAACCCTTAATAAGGATTTAACTTTTATAATATAGAAACCAAAATAAGTAAATTGTGAGAAAGAATCATAAAATATCCCCTGATTATATTATATTTTTTCGTAATATTTTCTTTCTAAAATTTTAGCTATCTAATTTGATCAATAATATATTGAAGATGAAGTTTCCTTTCAATTAGAGAAGAAATCATTTTGAATAAAAAATATAATTAATGTAGATGTAAGTAAGTGTGGGTGTTCTTTTCTTCATTTATGCAAATAAATGGATTCTCACAATTTTATTGATAAGGAATTGTATAGTTTCAGATACAGAATGCCATTTATTTCCTTCATATAAACAAATTTAAAAAGATTTTTGATAAATAAGATTAATGACATCTTATAATATGATCTGAATTACATCTCCAAAAGCTTATTAAAGTTTCACTTCCAGAGTATGAACTTAGAGTTTTGGTGGTACAGGTTGAAACTGGAGACACAAGTTTGATAACCTAAAAATTTATTGAAAAGTATTATATTTGATTTTATTAATATATTAGAATAAAAAAAGTATTGATTTCTGAGATCACTCATTTTTTCGATTTTTTAATTTATATATTTAAATCTTAGATTTTGAAGGATTTTAAGGGCATTAATATTCTTTCAGGGTACATAAAGAAATGATTTAATAATTTCAAATACGAGAACTTTCTCTGTAAAAATATTCTTGTGTATACTATGACAATTTCAAATCGGTTAATCTCTTTCAGTTAAATGAAAATCATATATATTTAATTTTCTATTCTAGAAAATCTAAGTTTTAAATACAATTTAATTTGTAACTGGGTATGTTAGTAATTCATCATTTAAATAAATTTGATGCTTTGGCTTAAATAACTAAAATTGCAACGAAATGAGTTTAAATAATATTAAGCTTCGAAAAAAAATAAAATATAATATTTAATACGAATAATCTGGCACCAAGTATATATATTTTCTTGATACTTCAACCTTCATTGTCTTGCATCCTCGATTGTATTTTTACACTACCTCAAAACTACTTTATATCTGAAATAGACCTCATTCTACTATATTTATATGTTTATAAAGCTAAATACTAATAAAATCATGCAATTATAGGTAATAATTAAGAGCTAAATAAGAAATTTTTCTCATAATATAGATGTTATCTATAAAAAGACTTGCTAAAGAGGCTCCAGAGTAAAGCCTATTTACTTTAATATTTGAAATGATTGCCCCAATAAGTTAAAAATCTTTAAGTATATTAAAATAGATTTATTTCTACAATCTTATATTGGATAAATAAATTTCATTTTTTTTATGCTTTGCAAAAGCAGATTCTTTTTCAATCTAAAGGCTAAGAACTAATGAAATGAGGAATTATTATATAGATTAAATTTTATGTTGATTAATTGCAAGGGCTATTAAAGTTTGAAAAATTTAGATTAAAGAAATAAAAAAATTAGATTCTAAATTATAATTGAACATTATATCTACTGATGAAACTAAAACTTACTCTTGATAAAAAAAAAGGTTTTTACTTTTTAAACTAGTACTAATATCCTTATTTTTATTCTTACTAAGAAAAAGTACAATATTTAAAATATTATCTTAGTTTGGTATAATCGATTTTTTGTAATTAATTTAATTTAACATACTGAGATTTACTATTATACTAAAATTGTTTACATTAATCAAATAATTAATGATTAATTTACATTAAACAAATGGTAAATAATAAAATTAAGAATTTCAAGTCATTATACTAATTATAAATTCATTTCATTTTATTAATTATTTACTTTTATAAAAATCAATTTTTAATTCAGTTACTAAACTAGCAACAATTTATTTAAGTTAGATAGATGAAGTTAAATTTAATAAAAATGACAATATTAAACTCTTAAACATACTTAGAGATTAATAATATTTTAAATTACATCAATTACATTTCATATTGTGAGTTATATTAATTAAATAGTAGTGATACTTGCCAAGTAGCCCAATCCTAGATAAGTTATTATATTTTCTGACAAAATTCTTAATTATTCATGAATTTTATTAGATTAAAATATTCAATGACATAATATTTAATGAATAAAAGTAAGTCTAAAACAAAGTTTAAAATATATATATTTGTTAAAAAAACCCTATAGATTCCACTAAAAAAGAGTTCTTGTAAAACATTTAAACTAAAACTTGTTATTGATATATTATTAACTAAAATTTAGAATTTAATTTTTAGCATCAATCTGGGTTTCTTATTTGGTTTATCATCATAGTATTTTAAATCAAGTCAGTCCTAATAATATGGAAGCCTTTTTGAAATTATGTATATCCTAATTAAAGTAAACCAAATGAAAATAATTGATGTGCTGTTAAATTATAAACAGAGGTGTTAATTCATCTAATTTAATTTTAATTGGAATATTGTTTAATTTTTTCTTTAATCATAAATAAGTAAAAAAGGTCATAAAAATTGAAATATTTTTAGATAATATTCATTTGTCAAATTCAAAGAAATTATAAAAAACTGTTATAAATTAAACAGAAATTAAGAATTAATATACTTTATATATGAAAGTATTTATTTAACATAATTAAATAGTTAAACATTTAAATTATTATAAATTCATAATAAAAACTTTTTATCTAGAAGATTATAAAAATTTCTATAGAAGAACAGTTCCACTGATTGTTTCAATAACATACAGAATGCATTGATTGATTAAAGAAACCATTTAAGCCTATCCATCTGTTGTTGCAATAAGTTTAATAATTTTGAATTTTAGAATATACAATATATCTATACTATCTACTATTATTAGTTTTATTAATTCTTATTGATATAACAAAAAAAAAACCATCTTTTGATGTAGAAAGAGAAAGGTTGGTGAAGTGCCTTTTGAGTTCTTAGTTTTATTATGATTTAAATACATGATTTACTGAAAATTAAGAAAAAAGGAAAGTTTCGATGTCTAATTGGTTGAATCTAAAAACTAATAGTTAAGCTGATTTTAGATGAATTACATATAAAATATTGATATTCAAATATTACCTTATTCATATCAGAGGTGATGTCTCTTTGTCACTTTATGCTTATTTTAGATAAATACTATCCTTTTTTTTTAAGATCATATTCAAGAATTTTTTTTTAATACAAATTGATACAGAAATACTAGAAAATTAGAAAGATAAATACACATATTCAATTTTGCTTTGAAGTAAACATAGGTATTCCATTTTGATTTATCTTGAAAGGATTAACCAAAATTGTATTTGTTAAGTGATAATATAATTAAAAATTTTAAATTAAAAAGAAAATGTAGAAATTTAATTATTATTCCAACCTAATATTCTTGAATGGCTATTTATAGATAAAATAACAATATCGTTTTTACTAATGAGGGTTGGATTTGGTGACCCAACTTAAATAAGGAAATCATCAACTAAATCTCTCCCTTTCCTAAAGTATATATATTTTACCCATAAAGTTACCTTTCCTTTCCTTTCCTTTCCTTTAATATGCTATGCTTTTAATATAAATTTTTTTTTAAGTTTTTTAGATATCATTAACCTGTCTGGGCTTATTCACAGTAGTACATTAACCTAAATTTGAATTGGCTCTATATGACATATTTTTCAAATCCCATATTAATTAACATCAACCTTACTGCTATCAAAAAACTTAAATTGGATAACCTTTTAATATTCTTCTTCTGTAAGAGGTGTTAATATTAATTATTATATGAAGAAGTATCCAAACAAGTGCTAGGTGTAGTTACAATTTAGGCTATTAGAATAATTAAGGGTGGAAATAAATTTTAACAAATAGTGTTGATTCACATGAATATAGAATGGTAACATGAAATTCAAGCCTAAAAGTTTATTGATAATATACCTAAGTCTGTCTCTATTTACATTCCATTATAGGACTGATTCTAGAGACCTATGTTCAATATGAAATAACTTAATAAACGCCTTGACTTATTAGAAAAACCCCAGAAAATGTATAAATATATGTAATAATCCTTGATACTATAAAATAAAAGATATGAATTACTAAATTACAATAAAGTAGAATCTATTATCAAACATCGAATTCATTTCTAATTTTGAAGAAATTCAAAAAATTCTATGATATAATCTCACTCATTTAAAAACCTAAATCCTTTAAAGAGGGAGGGGCTCAACAGTAAATATTATTTAATTGTAATTTGAAATTTTGTAATCAAGTGACCAAATAATACCTCTAATTAAAGAAAATTTTACTGAAATAGGAAGTATGTGAAAGCTAAGACGATATTTTTATTTAATTATTTGAAGAATCTTTATTGGATACTTCCTCTCTAATTAATTAATTAAGGCTTTCCTACATTAAACCTCAATAGAATACGTAACTCTTCTGATTAAGAATTAGTCTATTAAAGAGTTAGAGAGATTTTCAAATAGATTCATAGAGGCTCGATTAAATTGATCCTAAATAATGTATGTAAGTAGAAATAGAATGATTTAAAAACTAGGATTTATTTCAAGCTTTTCTTCTAAGATTAAATATTTACCTAATTTTGGTTGTCTGGAATGTTATAAACATGTATTAATGTTGGAATTAATGGTCTATTGAACATGTTGAAAAACATGATCTTTTGCTGTTGAAAGATCTTATGAGTTTTGAAGTGTAAAGTAATTACTAGGCCATGGAATAGATCAAGAAAAATAGAAAATTATAAAATTTAATTTTTCAAGTAATGAAATAATTCAAAAAAGAAGCAAAACATAAATGCATAGAAAGTTTAATAAAATAAATTGTATTTAACTCCTATGCACCTATATAAGCTAAGGATTATTTAACCTATTGCATATCAGAACAAAAAAATAATAGATTTTTCGTTTTAAAAAATTATAATCGAATTACAGTAACTTGCTTCACAATATTAAATTAATTTAAGTAAACATCTTGATTTTTCATTTTATTCTAATTCCTTTACTTATCGCAAAAGCAACCTCATTTTTAAAAAGGATATTA